ATTCATTGTTGAACGCAAATAATTTTTTATAAATTTTAATCTGGAGAAAGATCTTTCTCCTTCTGCATTTGATCCAAGAATCGACAAATATATTCTTAATGCAATGTGAACGTTAGGAAAAGTATTCACAAGTTTATCTTTAATTTGAGCCTTCAACATTTCTTGTGCAGATTTATGCTCATACAAATTTGAAAATAGTAAAAATTCATCTACAAAGTTTTCCTCTAAATCGGAAGAGTAAATTTTCACCAAAAATGGTATTATCGATATCAACTGCAATATCGGCAGTATGTCGGTATTGCAGATAAAGTTAGATAAACAAATTCGTAAATTAAAACCCATATTAATAAAAATGTAAAAAAAAAAATATGCAAGAAAATTTTAGCGGGGAAAGAGGGGAGGAATGGGGGGGGGCAAAAACGGCTATGCCTAGGGCCTACGAAAGGTATAATCCGGCTCTGTGCCTAGGGCCTACGAAAGGTATAATCCGGCCCTGACGGAACCCCTTTCAGAACAGATTTCTCTGCAACCATGTACATGTTTACCATAGGTAGGTTTCTTCATGTAAGACGTTCAAATTTTTTATGCACTTATGTAAGATGGACAAATACCTTGTAAAGGCAAAATCTTCTATGATGATGCACCAAAAATATAGATTTATGCTTTAAAAAATAGAAGATGTTAAAAATGTATTATGATTAAAGAAATGATTTATTTTCAAGAGTTTTTATGTTTTTAGAAATCTCACTTAACTTTTTTGAAATCTCACCCTGTTTCTGAGAAATTCTCACCTATTTTTTTTCTATGATGTAAAATTCACTGTAAAATTATCGAAATAGGAAATAATATAAAATTTACAACAAAAATTAAGAATATAAAAAAGGTCCTATAATTCAAAAATGGTACGAACGCAATTTTTTTTTATTATTAAAACTAAAATCTTTAGTAAATGAACATACATTTTGTGTTTACACTAAATATTTGGTCAAGATTCACAGTTGGTTGCTTCTGACGATTATTTTATGTTCTTATGGAAAAAAGTGAGATTCTTAAAATTCCATTAAAAAATAAAGGTAGAAATAATAGGAAAATCGAAGGTTTTATACGCAGTGAAACCTGGGACGTTCATTGCATCATACAAAAAGCACCTGATTCGTCACTTAGACCAAATATTTTAGTAATATATCGGTTCCCGCAAGTTCACCTTTAAAGATTTTATCACTGTCTAAGTTTATGATACATTAAAGATTATACATATTCCTTTTAAGTTCCATAATTTGTGCCCACATACTTTCAATTGACATGCCCTCTTTCAATACATTTAAAAGTTTTTCCAACAAAGTATCGTCAATGTCTTCTCGAAGCTTATTATCAATCAACAATGTTAGCACACGATTTAATGACTTGTAGAAATTATCTTGTTCCATTTTTATGGAACAATATAGGTTTAACAGGTATGATAAAATTCAATTTCTCTGTCAAATTTCGAGCGTGATATGACATCAGTTTAATTTAGTTTATTGTTGAGTCATATTGGCACTTATAGCTTTCATGGATTAAGAACTGAAACTAATGTGTATTCGAAGTTGCGAGAGAGAACCTGATTGGCGAGTTTCTCGCATGCAGGGATAATGATCTATGCGGAAGAAGAAGGATGGTTAAATAAATAATCCCAAGAAAGTTTCAAGAGCTCAAATATTAGCACATATTTTCAAGACTTGCCAGGCGCGAATATTCGAAAATTATTAAAGCCATTCTTACTGAATGCGATTCTCACACTTTAAATTGCCGTTGTTATTTCACTTCATTTTCCTCCGCCAGATTGGCGAAAAGGACACAAATAATTTTTTAACGTGGTAAGAAAATAACTTGGCTACCAATTTTTATCTTTTTACACTTATTGTCACTACCCTCACACTGGACCATTTCTTTCAATGTAAGCTTTTCTTGGGTTCCCTGGTCTTTCTTGGGTTTTTCTTGGGTTATTATTTTGAAAATACGTATCAAACATCTGCGCATTTTCAATGGTTGGTGTTTTCAATATAAATGTAAACAGCAATACTATTTATTGAGCTCTTGACCTGCTCAACTTCCGGTTAAAAAGTATACAGCCGTTTAGTTTACAACCATCTTACTTTGCGGGTCGATATTTTCAAAGAGAT